GTCAGGGTTGCATTCTAGGGGAAATTAGGGGTCCTGCTGTCGAAGCCCACATGCAATCATCCTCGTAATAGGTACGCCACCCACAAAGTGGGGATTCTCATGTTTCCCTTTAAGAAGGAGATAATGTGGGTATTTCTCAATATTATCCCTATACAATCCCTAATAAGGACCCCCATAATCCCCATATAATCCCTATATACCCCCTGAGGTCCCTAGGGTACCCCCTTTTTGAGAAACTCCCATGTAAGGATCATCATAGGGACGTAGGACTTCCACCTCAAGGTTACCATGCTGCCTCGGCTTCCAGGTCCTATTATATCACCAATACAGGGTGGGAGATCCTCCTAAGGGATAAGGGTTTAGGATTCAGGGTTAATATGGGAATAATGGAAAAGAAAATGGAAACTACTATAGTATAACATCTACCTGATATGAGGGCTCCCTACAAGCAAGGGTATTTGTTCGGAGTCCCTTTAACAGTGACTATGGATTAGTTGAGCTTTCGCCTCAACTCTTCATAACCATGCGCTCCCTCCAGTGCCACTGCCATTGTACAATCCCCGTTCGTACTCCGAATTGCCTTTAGAACCTACACATGCTCCCCATGAAGCCCTCTCAGCACTCTGAAACCCTAACCCTACCCTTACATACTTTAGGCTTACATATGAGCTATAGTCCTTTAATCACCCGTATAATACTCCCATAAATAATCGCCTATATAACTTCCTTTAATGAGGTTATACTATACCAATCTTAGTCAAGGCCTCCGCAAATCAGCGAGCGGGTCGCGCCGGTCGAGTCGCTTCCGGCATGTTTGTGTTTTCGTGCTAACTGTTAGTGGTGGATGAAGGAATGGACAAAAGCATGGACATCACTCTATCCTTGGGCGTTATCTAGGGGTTGCTTTGATAAATAGGGATCCATTCCTCCATCCACTGAAGAGGTAGAGGTGTAGGGCTCACATGGACCCTGAAGTACTTCCATTCTGAGGTTCCACTTTTTCTGGAAAGACTTTAGCTCAGGGTTCAGTTTTGGGGAGATTGAGCGTAGGCTTTTGGGCGTTTCGTTTTCTCTACATGGCCGCCAGCGTGGGCTACAAGTGGAGTGAGAGAGGATCCTAACCTCATCAACTTGAAATTATGGCAGTTTCCCAAAATAGGGGGACCCCAATATAGACCCCAATATACTATAGTCCTTATTACAGGGACCCGCAAAAAGGTACACCTCATTTAGGGAAACCCCTTATGGGGGTGCATGTTCAGCAGACCTTCGTGTAGAGCCGCGGCCGGCAGATGTTTGACTGCCGCTCACTGCCTCCTGAGCCTCCTGTAGGTGGAACTGCGTCAAAATCATTTTCACATGAGTGTACAGTAGCCCCATGTAATCTCTTGTAATCCACTCTTAGAGGATATGGCATTATTGAGGGTGCTTTGCTTTAGGTAGCTGCAGATGATCGCTAGGAGGAGCTCTACGCGCATCCTCTGCGTCGCCGAACCTATCTATCCACGACGCTACATCCTTGCCCCAAAGCCTGGAGCCCTTTACCCTTGACCTAATACGCTGAATCCTCTAAACTTTTTCACAAAGCCGTACATAAGCCAGAAAACTCCAAACCTCTAATTGAGGGACTGCTGCCGAAGTCTGCTCCTGCTAGCCACCAGGTGAAGCCAGGCAAGTGTTTCAGACTGTCCCTGGGCTTTCCTTCTTGATATAGTCCCCCTTAAGTAGATCGAGTATGGGGTTTATGGGGATCTTATTGTATTTTACCCAAAGCCATATTCCATCTACATAAGGGGGACTATAGTTTTGGGGGGTGTAGCGAGTTGGGAGTTTTGGACTACATGGGTTTGTGCGCTCAAGGTTTAGGCCTCCAAGCATTTTGGAGCTTTATACGGCGTTTGAGCTGTTATTCAGATGCGATCCACTGTTTTCATAGTATTGTATCTAGCCTGCATTCAGCACTCTAAACCCTAACCCCAAGTGAGCTGTAGTCTAAACTCCTCAAGGGGGTTATGTAGGGGACTATATACGGCTTGTCAACTGGGATACTAGGAGTTTAGACTATAGCTCAAGTGAGTAGTATTTTATTTGGGGAAACTATGGTACCCATTATAGAGAAAGATTCTATCCTCCTTTTGGGATATAGTATTTTATAAAAGGGATATAATCTTACTAGGTTCAACCACCAAAACAAACGCTACTCAAGTGAGGGTGTAGGGACTCATTGTGGGTGCATAGAGTTGTTGGGCTCGTTGTCTAGGCATCTGGGTCTAGGCCTTCAAGATTTGGGTCATATGTCTTATAGTCGAAACCCCTATATAACCACCTTTAAGGAGTTTAGGCTATAGCTCATGTGACAGATGCATGCAAGGTGGGCATTCCACCTTCACCTATTCGGGTTTCGGGCTTAGGGTTTAGGGGGTTTCAGGGTTTAGGGTCCTTCTTTGGGCTTCTCGGGAGAAGGGGCATTTGAATTCTTCCTGCTTGCTTTTACAAAATTTGTTCATGCCCCAAACCCTAAACCCTATTGCTGCCCTGATGCCATCAATCCCGGCCTGCTTGTCCCAATATTGGAGTACTACGCTTTAATACTGTTTTGGCTGCTGAGTTCTTATTATAGCAACCTATACCTAGAAAGTCTATACTTTGTCTTTGGGGCGTACTCCAAACTAGGGTCATTGTGGCATGTATGAGGGAGTCTCCGTATCTTCCATCTGCAAAAACGTGACATGCCTTTTGCATATCCATAATTAGCTGGGAATGGGGGGTATGGGCTATAGAGGGATTATTGCGGCACTGATTTCGGGGGATTGTGGAGGGACTACGTGTTGTAGGGGTCATTCTCCCCTTCTGAGCTTTCTGGATTTACCTACTATATACTTACCCTACACCCTAAACCCTACATACTAGTTTCCATTTTCTTTTCCATCATCCCTATATAACCCTATATATCCCGTATATATCCCCTATGACCCTACAAAACCCTACATAACCCTCATATATCCCCTATATAACCCCTATATGCTGGTGTCAAGGTTCACGAAGTGGTCTTACGAGCACGAGCTGGACGACGACAACGTCGGATCCCCAGAGCATGTCAAGCATTTTTGTGTTTGAGCTTCTGTTGCGAAGACGGGTCCTGTGATAACATAATATGCTTGCCAATGTCATTCTGCACCATGTTAGGGATCCGTATGTCAAGAATTATACTTAGGTGGTGGGCTGCGATGGGCATGTTCCTGACAACGAGCATTACAAGACATGAAAATGCAGATAACAGATTGTCTGTTCCGCGTCCTTACTTGGGTGGGTCGTACATGCCTCGCCCTAAAATCCGTACGTGGGGGGTGTCTCCACTCGGTATGCAATGCGCCTCAGCATCAGGGTTCCTCCATAGTAATTTGTGCCCTCTACATAGGTTTCCTTCATCTGGGGAACATGAAGCCAGTAGGGTTCGTGCCCCAGTTCATCCCACACCGACCCATGGATCGCCTTGATGCTTTTGACCGATGTCCTAAGCAAAACACGACAGCAACCCAAATCCTTACCAAACCCTATCGGAAATGGCAACCACTACATTGGTAGCCTAGATGACCTCCTGACATAATATACTACCAACAGGTGTTGTTCGTAAAGTTTCTATGTAGGGGGCATTTCCCACTTCAGGTTCGGATAGTTCGTGGAGAATGGAGGTCTACGGTTAACGGTTATGAACTAGAGTTATGATCAGAGTTGTGGTAAGTTTTGTATTTTGGAATACTTTTATGCAAGCAGTGCAAATTCGTGGGGTGGGGTCTATATGGGTTGAGTTCGGGATGGTCTTGGAAATGCTAGATCAGGAACTATAACTCCAGGAACCCTAGCCCGTAAACCTTGAAGCCGCAATTTAGGGTTTAGGGTTCTAAGCGGCTCCCACATCCTTCTTCCAGGCGCCCGAAATCCAGCGATCCAACCTGGGGCATGTCGTGTGGAAGCCTCAGGTGTTGGGGTTTAGGGTTTAGGGAGTTGGGTTTTGGGGGTTCAGGGTTTTGGTTATATGCTCAGAGGAACTGATGTATAGAAACATGTAAAGATCTTCCCAAATTTGCGTGGTGCTATGACTTGAATAAATGCACCTTGAGCCAACCTTATGTTTGCTTGACTCCTCCTAAACCTACCCGCCATAAGCCTCTAAGTAGAACTTCAGGGCAGGCGAGCTTTGGAATTCCCAGTTCTTGCATGCGACGTAGTCCCTCCGCCCAAGATGAAAAACTGCTGTTCGCAGGCACGAAGTAGAAAGCTTTCAAGGGAATGAAGAGCCGTGAACCCTGAAAGCTTGTTGGCATTCTGCCATCATCCACCTCTGGAGCCTGAAGTAATGGCCAAGCGCCCCCCCAACGTCCAACCCACACCAGTCTCCTCCCCATGGCATCAAGCGCCCCTTCCCAACAAGACCGCAGCTAGGATAGAACCATGATAATCCGGTTTGGCAGGCAGGTGTGCCAACAAGATGCACAAAGGCGGCTGAACCCCTGAGGCCTCTACGCGTCAACACACTAAGCCCCCAAAAGGTCGAAAGCTAATCCTGAAGCCCCCAATACCAACGTAAGCTCCAAAGTGCCTCCAGAGCAGGGAAGTGCAAGTAAAACCCTGAGTCGCTGGGGCTGTAACGCTGCAAGTGTTGGCTCTACATATTGGAGTTTCTCCAAACTACCTGGGTGGACTGTCTAATAGGGACACCCCGGACTTCCTAAACACCAAGATTCTCCAAGGCTCCCCATCACCCCATTATCCGAAACTTACAATGGCACAGTCCCACTGAAAAAGGTCTCAGGATGGTTTGCGAAAGTAGGCCATCTCAAAACCGCAGGGAGCTTTATCTTCTCTCAGATCCTTAAGATGTAGGTTAATAACCCTATAGCCCATATAGTAACCCTACTTATCACATTATTCACCTAGTTATTAAGTCCCCCTGACACTCCAAGCAGATTGAGTAGGAAGCTGCCAGACATCAGAGGCTAATGCTGAAGTCGATTGGTATCGACGATCTGCTTCACTTTGACTTCATGGACCCGCCGCCGCCGGAGACCTTGATCAAGGCCCTGCTTGTCCCAAATGCGCTCAAGGACCCCAATTTGTTTTCGAGTTTTTAAAGGAATTTTTGGTAAGGGAGTATGATGATATACTACCCAAAAAACATTTCTTAGAAGCCCTTGGGTATTATCTGGGGATCACTTGGAGACTTGTTTGGCAACTAGGGCGGAAATCAGGAAAGCCAGGGAGCAAACTAGGAGGAAGAGGAGCAGCATTAACAGCAGCAACATGGTACTGAGCTCACTGCAATCATGACAAGGCTCGATGCTACTGTCACGATCTCTCTGGCCAACACCAGGGTTTAGGGTTTCGGGTTCGCACCCCTACTCTCCGAGGCCAGAAGCAAGCATTCAAGTACTACGCAGAGTACCGCCCGTTGCAATCATAGCAGACGCGAGTGCTTCACACTGTGCCTACTTGGAGGGTCGCGGGACTGAGTAAGTCGGCTAATAACCCCTTTAACAAATAGTAAGCTTAGTTATCCCCCGGTAAGGCTGATATCCCCTTTAACAAATAGTGCGCTCAGTTATCCCCCTTATCAATCCACTTACTACGTCCCCCTGACCATAAGCGCTAAATAATATAGTAGCTTCCAGACTTTCCATTATTGCTGAGTCCCCCCGGCCCTCCAAGTACTGATGTCACAAGCAGGCTCTCGAGCAGCTGTATGCGCTAAGTGCCGGCGGCCTATGTCAGACTGGGGATTAGTAGGGAATAAGGCAATATAGTATATGTATAGAATATAGAGTTTAGGGTTTAGGCTTTAGGGTCAGTAGGGAATAAGGGAATATGATACATAGGGATTATATGTCCTTATTCCCTACTGTTGATGGAAGAAATCTTGCACCGCCTTAAGTCTAGGGCCCCTAGGTGGTGCAAGATTTCATCCATCAACAGTAGTAAGCACCAGTAAGCTGGTGTATAGTAGGGAAGTTCGACAAGTATCCATGTGGGGTTTTGGAGAAAGTTATAGTTCATTTTGGCAGTCTGCAGGGTAGACATGGGTTCCCTGATAGTGATATGTGATGACTGTTGACACCTTCCTCGCACAAAACACAGCGCCGGGTCTCTCATGGGGATGATCGAGTGAAGAATGACAAGGATACAGGATAAAATAGGCTTTCAGGTCCTAATGAGGTAGACTATCCACTGTCAATTTCAGGGTTTTGTGTATTACACATTGGTCCAGGATCACGCTAGGTTTGGTATTCCAGTGAATTCACGTTCGCACGACATCTGAGATCTGTGAAACACTAAGGGTAGGTTCCCTAAATTGGGAGACCTCAATGTAAACCCCAAAATACTTTACTCCTTATTATTGGGACCTCCAGAAAGGTACAGCAAATTTTGGGAAAACCTAAGTATGATTCCTAAGCCCTAAACCCTAAATTCCCCCTCTGCGACCCCCATATCCCTGGGTATTTTAACCCTAAACGCTAAAGCCTAAACTCTACCCTGCCAAGGTCAGGTTTCTTGTGTCATACTCGGCGACAAGACACCCGTAGACATGGTAACCTTCAAACGGGTTTAGGGTTTGGGGCTTAGGCCCGAAACCCTAAATCCTGCCCTGGGGACTTATAATGCATAATGCCGGGCTTACGTACTCATTGTACACAAATCCTAAACCTTACATCCGAAATTCTAGACGCTCTAAACTTAATCCTAAACCCTAAATTCTAAACCCTGATCCCTTCATTCTAGACCCTAAGCCCTAAACTACCTTTGTGGTACTCGGGCTCTTGGGATTGTTTAGGCACATGCCATGGCATCATGTTGAGTTGAGCCTCTGGTCTTGCTGGGGGTCCGAGCCTTCGCTTCCCGCAAGGCTTAGTGTTTAAAGTTTAGAATTTAGGGTAAGGGGTTTAGGTTTTAGACTTAAGAGTTTTGGCTTTACAATTTAGGGTTAAGGTTTTCGAATGTAGGGTTTAGGTTTTAGAATTTAGTCTTTAGGGTTTAGAACTTAGGGTTCAGGGTTTAGAACTTGGGGTCTGGGATTTACAACTTAGGGTTTAGTATTCATAATTTAGGATTCAGGGTTTAGATTTTAGGGTTTAGAACTTAGGGTTTGGGGCTAGAATTTAGGGTTTGGGTTTCAGAATTTCGGGTCTACGTTTCCAGAATCTAGTCTCTATGTTTTAGAATTTAGGGTTTAGGGTTTGGAATTCAGGGTTAGGGTTTGGAATTCGGGCTTTATGTTTTAGGGCCTGTCTCGTTATCATGTTCATGAGTGTGATGTCTTAAGACAGTCTGGCAAAACTGACGGTCAAGGGGACTCTCCCTTCTCATTGCAGGGATGATCCTAGGAATAGCGCGATTGGACATACAGCTCGGGAACGCAATTAATCCTTTCCCCCAATATTAAAGGGCTCCCCGCCCTAACGTACATACTCCGAACCGTGTTTGATATTAGGGTGGTATTTATCGTACGACCCGAACATTAGGGCGGGTAAGTGAAATCTGAGTTGAAGTCGTACAATTTCGATTAAATCTAATAAGAGATTATTTGAAATTAGGGCCTTATTAGGGACTCTCTCAAATCAGGGCCTTATTAGGGACCATCTCAAATTACTGCCTTATTAGGGACAATTTCAAATTAGGGCCTTTTACGGACTATCGCACTATCTAAAAATAGGGCCTTATTAGAGACTATCTCAAATTAGGGCCTCATTGGGGACTATTTCAAACTAGTGCCTTAGTAGGGATTGTTTCAAATTAGTGCCTTATTAGGGGCCGTTTCAAACTAGGCCTTTCTTACGGACTCATTTTAAATTAGGGCCTTAGTACAGATTCCTTCACATTTGGGCATTGGAGTCTTTGTAAAATCCTTTATTCGAAAACAAGCAACATCTAGGCAATCAAGGAGATCCCAAATCCTTAAGAGTCGTGCTAAAAACTACCTAATTCAGATCATCCGAGCCGTAATTGACTTTAGTCTTGGCCTTTCTATAAGTAGTCTTTTAGGGCGAGTTTTGAATTTGGACTTGGGCGAACCCGTATTTAACATGGGGGGGGGTGTGGTATTTTTAGGGGGAAGCGCTTAGTCAAGATCCGGAGATCTGGGAGGTTCTCGAGATAACGGGGGCCTAAACCCTAAACCCATATGAGCTGCAGTCTAAACTCCTTAAAGGGGGTTATATAAGGGGTTATATATGGGATTATTATTAGGGGTATTAAGGGGGATACTAGGAGTGTAGACGGTAGCTTATACAGGAGATGATAGGGTTCCCCTTCAGGACTATCTCGGGGCACTCCCATCTCTCCTGCATTAGCAGTTGACATTGCTGGGGGGCGTCTACAAGGTCGTAAAAAAAAGCCATCGTCCTTTCCGCATACAAACATCCCCAGTTTCCATGTCATGTTCCATTCATTCAATTTTCCGTTCGTGGGTTAATACACCTAAGCCCTAACACTAAACGAGGCCTTGAATGACCAGGGCGACCTGACAAAATTGGGTGCTGAGCTGAGAGACTCGAGCTTCAGTGTCAAGTTTCGCTGCGGCATTGAGGGTTCTGGGGTTCGGGGCGCTCCCTTAATCATTTTACGGTCCCTAAGCCCTTAAAGCCTATGAACCCCAAACACTAAACCCTAAACCCTAAAACCCTTACCCCCTAAAACCCTAAACCCCAACCCCTAAAGCCCTACACTATATGCTCTAAGAACTAAACATTCAGGGAAGCAGTCTTAGGCTGCGGCGGGAAACGTGTGCAGCAACAAGAGCATGGTTCTGCACTTGTTGTGCTATCTTGGTCGGAAGTTGTCGAGCAGGGGGCTCCGTTGGGAGTGCTTCAGGATACTTACTGGCTCTACTTTCTACTCTGTTCGGCTACATGCAGGTTTGTATGCTTCGCCTTTCTTCGCTGTCCTGCAGGTAACGATTAACCTTTCGGAGTAGTACCAACCAGAAGGTCAAACCGGTCATCATCGGAAAATCTTCAAGTTTCGGGCCGGCTCAGTTTTGAGGTCTTCCTGGAGTAATTCGGAAGCAGTTTTCTTTTGTGCGTCCTGTCGGGTGTGGGAGAGGATCCTCTTTCTCATTATCCTTACATGGTTCCTTTTTGATGAAACCTGATTTACGCCTACACTTTCCCTTCAGCAGCAGCCATCCTAAACCCTACATGGATCCTGGATGTCCTACCTTTCTTGGGATACTAAACCCTAGATTCTGGTAGAGCCCGTGTTCTCTTCTACCTCCACACAGTCCTAAACCCTGAACCTTAAACCCTAAGCCCCAAATCCTAAACCCTAAACCCAAAAAACGCCCGTAAGTCTTAGGCCGGCGCATGGCAGAGTTTCCGATGGACCCGCAGCAGTCGAAGTCGCTGATCCAGGCCCAAAAGCTGCAACCTGCCCAAGGAGGGTTTAGGGTTTAGGGTAGACTTGGGGTTCAGGCTTTGGAGTTTAGAGTCTGGATTCGGGTTTTAGGCTCCAGGGTTTAGAGTTAGGTTTCAGGTTTTAGGTTGTAGAGTTAGGGTTCAGGCTTTATAGCGTTGAGGGTTTAGAGCTGACATCCAAACTAACAGGGAACCCCATAAACTTATGAGTAATATTTCAAATGCGGGATGTTCGAGCCCCAAATATGGTACTTTCCCAAAACACGGGACCTCAATATAGACCCCCAAAATCCTACAGTTCTTAGTATTGGGACCCCCCTAAAAGGTACCCCTAGTTTTTGGAAACCGCCATATGTCATACTTTTAGGTGTTGCTTTCTAGAGCAAACCCAAAATCGTAGTGGGCTCAGCCAACCAAAAGCCGCTGCCTGTGTAGCACCCCTTTTGCGGGACGGTCGTCTTTAGAGGCCGGCTTTACAGTTCCATGTTATGTACCCTAAACACCTAAAACCTTCATACCCTAAACCCTAAAACCCTAAACCCTAATACCTTAATACCCTCAACCCTGGGGGTAGCTTGTAAGAATCATCCGTTAAGCCTTAGGAGTTTGAGCTCAGTCATCCCTACGGTTCTGTTTTTATAGGGTTTTTATGGTTTGTAAGGTTTGGGGCTTCTAGGGTATAGTATTTAGGGTTTAGGCTTACCTTATGGAGTTGAGACTGTGGGTACATGGTTTGGCATATGATGGTGCCAAACTACGATCCCAATGCCATTAAGATCCTGTCATAAGGAGTGTCGTAGCCCAGTTGATGCAGACCACGATGGGGGCATGTAATTAGATACTCTGCTTTTGATTCTATGCGGAAGTATTTTACAACGTTTTCATAAGCCCAAACCCTAAACCCCAAAAGCCTACACCCTAAACCCCAAAACCCCAAAACCCTCAACCCTAAACCCCCAAAACCCTTAAACCTGGAGATTGATTTTAAACCCTGGGCCAGGATTCCTCTTCTTCGGAACCCATTGCAACTACGGAAGCTCCGCTAATTTCCGTGGTCCAAATCCCTAAGCCTAAGCTGGATACCCAAATCAACCCTACGCCCGAACCCTAAACTCTCAAGGGTTCATAGGGTTCAGGGTTTATAGGGTTCATGGTTCAGGGTTTCGGGAACCCTAACTTTAAGCCCGAACCCCTAATCCCTGCAAGCCCATTCCTCGAGGGGCCTCTTTGCCTGTCATTCTCTTACAGCTCTGCAGCACTCAGCTTGCTGGTGCTCAAGGAAGAGTGGAGTAGCAAATCCTTGTATTTTCCTTCATGTTAAGGGTTTAGGGTTACTCATGTCATAGTACTGGTATATGTTTCTTCACCTCGCTCTTGCACTCAATATCAACTACGGCCTGGAAGAAACAAGTGCGTGGTTTCTGCTACGGCGGATACTGAAATCTGTGGTGACGCTAAGTACCTTGTGCAGTGGGATTTATGGTGCTGTCGAGGAACTTAATTTAAGTTACTATTATATTGGGGCAACCCTATTATTTACTACATATACCCATTATGGTAACTTTATTTAAGTTCTTTAACAGCAACCCAGTTTATGGTGCTGTTATAGTATCATGAGATCATGCAGAATTTTTTAGCATCAACAGTATCTCCTGAGCTCCTCTTCTTAACTCTAAAAGCCCTAAACCTGAGCTCAAAATAAACCTTAAACATACCCAAACTGTCCAAAGTACCCATATAGGGAATACTTACCCAAACCACAAGGGAAATTACTACTACAGAAACCATACTTTGTACCATATATAGGTACTTTGGACCCTTTGGGATAAACCCTGAACTCTCTTCCGCTGTCTTCTGCGAGGCTGACAAGTACAAGTGTGTGGACGAGGTGGTCACCATCTGCAGCATGCTGGGTCCGGGCCCCGTCATTACCTGAGCTACTGCCTGTCAATGTTAGGGTTTAGGTTGTAGGGTTACCCTGTCTGTCAATGTTAGGCTTTAGGTCTTAGGGTTACGAAGGGACCATTGAGGGTGCACATAGTTTTTACAGGGCATAAAGCTGAAGCCCAATGAGGAATACAACTCTGATTTTCATTAGTACCCCGAAGGAGGAACCAGCTAATCCCTAAGGTTCACTATGGATTGTGGTTAAGATCCACCGTCCTAACCAAGGGCCCCTGATATGACCCCCCAATGTCATAATCAGAGCCCCACATACACATACACGGCATTCCACTCAAGGGCACTCTAGGTAGTATTCCGGGCTCTGTGAAGAATGTTGGGAAGTCAAAGGCACAGCGAAAAGGGTTTCTAAGCGCTCCGAGATTCCGGAATCCAAGCACCCCCGAACCGTTTAGGCTTCACAGCTGCAAGGCCATGCTCAGAAGCTGGGAGTTTTGAAGACTGACCGCCCCTAACTCCAAGGGCTCCACCCTTACAGCTCTCCACTTGAGAGCCCACCCAGCTGCCCTATCAGCATCAGCCAGGCGTGGATGGCGCTATCTTCTACCGACCAAAGGACAAAGGCTGGGCGCAAGGAATGGTGGAGGATCAAATCGACAATCATCTGGAACCAAACTACCATGTCACTTGGGGATAAGGCTTGGACGTAGCATCATAATCGCACTTGTTGTTTTTCTTAACCTGGAGCCCTCACATCATTATAGGTACAAATTCCGGGCGCTCAACTCTTACTGCGCCATGAAGCCGCTACTTTCAATCCGAGCAGAGCTGGCTAGAGGAAATGTACCGGGCTACCATATAACCATAGAAGGTCCTCAGCCAGTTCCTTCCCCAGCTGTGCTTTACCATGTTTCGCATCCGAATTCCGGATCTCCAACATACTATACAGACCTTACAGGAAGAAGATGTGAAAGAGACATACATTCCCAAATTGTCCTTTTCAGCGCAAACCTTTAATATGCATTCAGACAGTGTAAGCCCCTCTAACAACAATTCGTTTGTTTTTGGCGCCTTAAACCCTAAAACCTAAACCCTAACCCCTAAACCCTAAAACCCTAAACCCTAAAACCTAAAGGCATCCACGCGGACAATGCGCGGAAGAACTTCCACAAGCCTGGCGGCGACCACATGACGATGCTGCACGTCTACAAGCAGTGCCCCGGCAGATTTACACTCCGCGGAGTGACATGGTAGGACCCTAGGGTTTAGGGTTAAAGGTTTGGGGTTTGAGGTTTAGGGTTCAAGGGTCCCCCCCAAAACCAAGCTGGAATCTCATACAGCTAGGTTTAGGCTTCAGGGTTTAGGGTTTAGGGTACAAGCAATGCCCCGGCAGATTTTACATTCCGCGCAGTGATATGGTAGGTTGTCAAAGTTATGCTTTAGGGTTGAGGGGTATGAGATGCAGACTAGAATTAAGGGGGACCTACAAGGTGATACTGTTGATGGAGGGAATTGTTCACCACCTTAAGTCCCTAAAGTCCTAGGAATTACAGTACTTTAAGGCCCCTAGGCGGTGCGAGATTTCATCCATCAACAGTATATAGGGGCACTTATGAAGGAAAATGCTAGAACTTCAGTCCAGGGTTCATGTGTTAGGTTTTCAGGATTATGGTCCGCTTTTGGGTGCTAATGTTAAGGGTACCCCAAAAGGGACCATAACTTCAACCATCTACCATATGGCAGCTAATGTGTGACCTTCCAGAAACAGGGGACCCCCAACGGACCGCAGCAGAAAAGGCCCCTGATTGTTGGAGACGCCTATATAGGCATCGTGTTCAAGGTCTATCAGATCCCCTAAGCCCTATACCCTAAAACCCCTAAACCCTAAAACCTATAACACCTAAACCCTAACAGCAGTGTAAACCCTAAAGCCCTAAAGGCACTTTTGCCGGGCCAAGGTAGTTTGGGACCTATTTTGCCACCCCCAGAATTACGACCACTCCGCCCCCCCAGAATCCTTTAATGTTTCTCCACTTCTGGGTTCTTGGGGAACAAATAATTTCATGTTTATGTATACCTGGGCCCAATATAGATTAAAAATGATCATTTTCATAGTATTGCAACAAGAACCCACACTTTGGGTCTTGAGAAATTCGCGTCAACAGCTTTTTGGGATTCTCATCGGTGGCTTGATTGGAGGGTCGACACAACTGAGCTCTGAAGATCTTAGTTCACAGGTCATGGCCCCCAACCCTAATGACAAGTATTTAAAAGTGCACGGCGTTGCCACGCGCAATTGCGCTGCTTCCTGCTTGGGGCCACAGGTTTCACCGTTGCGAATATGGTGATAGTGCTGCTGGACAGAATACTGCATGAGCTCAAGTATACTATAGCACCATAATTCCCAAGGTTTCTGGTGCATAACCTCATGCAGGATGTTGTTTGCCAATCATGTAGTGGTTTCCGCTAAGATAGCCAATTCTTCAACTCCTTACAAAGGCCAAAAACACGTAATTCTAAGAACTAGGAATTGTGAAGCCCTTGAGGCCACAAGTACGATCTGGGCAAATTCTAGCGACCTCACCCGACCTCATTTTACATCAGGAATAGCCCAGAACGGATTTATTTCAGGATTTCGGAATCATTAACGATGCCCAGGTACAAGTGCAATATTACTGCGGTGTTATCTTTACAGGTACCACTACCTCACAATTGCCATTCTCATGAGCTTGATTACGATTATCAAGTATGTTGCTATTTCTATTGCTTTCATGGTTCATGGTGAACCCTACTCATAGACCCTACTTGGAGGGCCGGAAGGACTTAGTAAGTAGGCTTATAATTCAGAAAATTAGGGTTACTATATGGGTTATGGGGGTTATTAACCTACTTACTAAGTCCCCTTGACCCTCCAAGTAAACCCTTAACCGTCTTAGTCTGAGTAGTGCTTTCACCAGTGAAGGTGGGAAGAAACTGGCTACTCCTTGAATTGGTGCATGGAGAATTACCTGCAGAACAGGCCGGGCCCTGAACCCTAAACCCTCATCCCTAAGCCCCATCCATAAACCTGAGCCCTAAACCCTCTAGGGATTGTCAAAGCGATTTCTGAGGGTGGCCAACCGGTTTAGGGCTTCAGCGCATAGATTTCTTGGTTGCAAGGGTGTATGGCTTCCAGGTTTACTGTTGAGCTGTCAGGGTTTCAGTGATACAGGTTGCGGTAAGATGTCAGATGATCGGGTCGAGGCTCTTGAGTTCCAATCCTGAGGGCACTGGATTGGTTTCAACTGAAGTCTAGCCATAATTCCCCTTTGAGTAGATAAGATATGGGTATATGGGGACCTCACTCTGATATTGGGCAATTCCATGTATTCTATCTGCTTGAGGGGACTGTGGAGGGGACTACATAATATTTACCTAAGACGTACGGATTTGCTGCTGTTAGTATAGACATTGAAGACCGAGAAAACTGGTAGCAAAAAAAAAGGCTACGCTGTTCTACACACACATTGAACCTTGCACGGGCTGCCGTTCTACAGACAGTAGTCCTTGTAGGGCTCCCCGCAGGTTTCCATAGTGTTTGCGCAGTTGCGAGGGTTGTAGAAAGAAGAAATCGATGCGCAACACTCATTCCTCAACAGACGCAACGTCCTTCGAAAGACATTTTTGAAGGATCCAAAGCAATCAATTTCCCAATCTTACTGGTGCTGAGTAGGGAATAAGGGAATTAATAGAATCCCTAAAGAAGTCCTATACTGAATATTCCCTCACTCCGTGCTAACCAACAGTAAGCAATTGTGTGTTGACGTACTTGCAAAACTCAAACATACTCAAACCACGAAGACCTGGCCTCCGCAATCTTGAAAGTTCAGAACCCCAAACCCTACCAAAACTATGCATCTGAACCCTATATACCCTAAACCCCCAAAAAGCTATATACTCTAAACCCTACTACACTCTATACAACCCGAAAAACCCTGAAGCTCCTAAAACCTCGGTCCCGGAGGTCTCTGAAGCGTGCACGTGACATCCGGGAGCAGCTCGTCGACATGCTGGAGAAGGCCGGCCATGTCCTTCAGGGTTTAGCGTTTAGGGTTTAGGGTTTGGGGTTTAGGGTTTAGGGTTCAGGGTTTAGGTTTAGGGCACAGGTACCCTTTTAATAGGGGGTACAAGGATATGGAGATGCATATAGGGTTAGTATGGAATGGAAAAGAGAATGGCACCTCACCTACTATGTTGTTTAGGGTGTATAGGGTTAAGGGTCAGGGGGGCCTGGGTAAGTAGCACAGCTAGGAGTATCTTCTGGCAGCTGGTATGACTCATAAGTTTATCCATTAGGTACCCCCGATCCAAGTACTACTTCCATTCGATGAGTCTAGCCCAGCATGCGGGCATGCGGCATCATGGAGCCTAACAGAAGGTTGAAAGAGTAAGAGCGAAAAGCACTAACAGAAAGTAAGGAGCAGGTAATGGCACGAATGTACGCGCTCATCATTTTTGCTAGCTCAGCTTTTTCTTCCGCTGGTTAGTGTGATTGTTATGCCGTTGTTCGTTCTGCTCGCGATGGGTAAACACGGTGATGATGAGGACGACGATGCAGAAGATGCTGGTGATGATGATTGTGGTTAGGATGATGGTTTTGGTTATGATTTGCCTTCATGACTGCGCAGGTGGAGATCGAGCATTCCTCCAATGTCAATGATCTCGATGGCGCCTCTGCAGAAGTGGCAAAATAAGGTGTAGTGCAAGGTTAACGGTACAGTGCAAACAATGAGGTCACACATGACTTCAATACAGCTTTTACCGCACCGATTGCAGCTACAGATGGGCCTCCCCCTGACCCTTAAACCAGAAAAGCAGGGCCCGCCTGCGACCTCAAGTAGGATGTGCGGTGTGGGGCTTGGGGTTTGGGTTTAACCCTAAACCCTAAACCCTAAACTGCGCCAAATCTTCATGTTAGCTTTAGAGGTTGTGACTTGGAAGTCGCAGGGCATTCGCACGCTTCCTGCTGAGCTGTGAAGGATTCGAAAACGGGATCATCTAGGCTTTAACAGGAATAATATAGGTGTTATATAGGCCTATCTGGGGTTACGTATATTGGGTTATATACGGGTTCTTTAGGGATATACAAGGGTTATGTCTGGTTTCTTCAGAAAGTCCAGAAGGACCTAACTCAGCGAGACTTTCTTTACTTTAGCGGCTATCTCTTCAGACCGGAAACTACTAACCAGACCCGCGGTTTAGGGTTTAGGGTTTATGATGAATAAACCCCCTCCCCTTACTAGGGATTATAATAGGGATCCTAACATTCACACCCTTAAAAGGAAGGGGTTTATTAATCATGGGTCTACATTATGGTCTAAGCTCCTAAAAAGGGTGGTATATAGGGGATTTTAAAGGGTTTAGGGGTTTAGGGTTTATTCTCCTTAAAGAGGGTTATATAGGGAATTATCTAGGGGAGTATTATAAGGGTTATTAGGGGGATACTAGGAGTTTAGACTAGTTATAGCTCAAATGAATCTGAAAAACATCTCGGGTATTGAGATGACTCCATTTGATTCTAGGTTTCAAGGTTTTGAAGGGTGTGGTCCCCTAAACCTTAAGCCCTAGACCCTAAACCCTAAACTCCGGGCCCACCCAGTCAAAAGCCCCAATAGGTGAAACAGGTTAGAGATTGAAGGTGCGCATGGTGAGCGACAGCCACTAGCTACACACATCTGCATCGCGTCGTTTCTTGTCATTTGGCAGTTTTCAGAAATGTAGGCCCCAATATACACCCTGCTATACTCCTTCTTATGGGGAACCCCAAAAAGTATCCCTAATTTTGGGAAACCCCAGTTACATTTGCGGAGTAGGTTTTCCAAGGGCAAGGCGTCTTGATACAGGTGCTTCGAACGGAGAGCCCCGGCTCCTGTTTACATCCTGGAGCCTAGCCCTAAGGGAAAAGCCCCATGTAGGTGTTTCTGTACAGGTAATTTAGGGCCAAGTGTAGATGTTGTGTCTAATCCTGGTGCTGTAGGGAACTCTAGCCGGACGACCCAGCATCTATGTAGCGTCTGATTTCTAAAGCTGCTTAGGGTAAACATTGAAGAGGTGGGGGTTTCCCAAAATTAGGGGTACCTTTTTGGGGATCCCCATTATAAGGTATAGTATTTTGGGTTCTATATTAGGGTCCCCTTATTTTGGGAAATTACCAGGTCAAAGAAAGTCCATCCTCTCTGGCTTCTTCTACAATACTGCACGGCTGCGGAAGGATGGGTCATGCACTCAGTTTCTGGGATTTTGGGTTAAAGGTTTCCTAAGCCCTAAACCCGAAACCCTAAACCCTAATCCCTCGGTAATTCACCCCCACAAGGAGGCCTGCTTCACGCATGCAATTTCTGTTTTCTCGGCTTTTGCCTGTGCAATATTTCCCAAAGGGTCCAGGTACCTATATGAGCTATAGTCATCTAAACTCCTTAATTAAAGGGGGTTATATAGGGGATTATATAGGGGATTACGATGGGGGTTATTAAGGGGGATACTAGGAGTTTAGAGTATGGCTCATATGGTATATACTTGGCGCCAAAGAGGTTCTTATACAGGTACTTTCGAGCCTTAGATACGGGTGTCTGTTTGGTGATGGGAGGCCAGCCAAGGCGGTTGTACGAAGTGGGAGTTTCCCAGAATTACATGTATCATTCGGGGTTCCTGATAAACAGTTTACGGGTCTCTATTGGGGTCACCTTCTTTATGGAAACTACCGAATCACGTCATGAAATTTGGTTTGTGGCCGTCATAGATGACGGTACGGAAGAGACGAGGAGCTGACGAATTTGAAAACGTGGTCCCTGAGTCTAGGCGCCAACCGTACACTAGGGCTCCCAGTTACCTAAATAATGGGAACTGGATTCTTTATATCCTATAGTTACATAGCCCAGTAACCTACTATTTAGGTAACTGGGAGCCTTAGGGGTAAGTAACTGGTTTCCTTGCTGCGCGTGCACTGCATGCACCGCCTCATTTTTTCCAAGGATCATGCGGAATTTTGATTTCGTGGTGGTGGCTTGGACCTGGAAGTATAGAACTGTGAACAGAATGTAGGGGTTTAGTGTCATGTTGCTAGGCAAGGCTTTCGGCAAACATTCTGCAGGAGGGGACACACCTGATATCTGAACTGAAACTTTAAGCCCGAAACCAAAACATCTCAGAGCTGCTGGCTACGATAGGGCTTAGGGTTTGCGATTTAGGTTTTAGGGTTTGGGGCTTAGGGTTTGCGGTTTAGGGTTTAGGGTTAGGGTTGTAGGGTATGATTGAGGGCTTAGAGTTCGGGCCACGCAGGATTCTTAGTCAAGCGTAGAGGTTCTGATTCAATAAACTCCTTAAAGGGGGTTATACAGAGGACTATACAGGGGACTACCATAGGAAGGGGGCTTATATAGGGGATTATGTAGTGAACTACTATAGGGTTTATGGAGGGGGAGACTAGGAGTTTAGACTATTTGCACTGTTGAAGATGCTCGCCTGTAACCTATAGTCCCCCTTGAGTGGATAGAATATGGCTTTGGGTATGTTATAATAAGATCCCCATATACACCCCATATTCTATCTACTTAAGGGGTACTATATACATACCCATTATTGATTCAGCTCCTGCTTCGAGAACCCCAACTGCGGCCCTGTGGGTTGGATATTTATTTGGATCCCTTGTCCCAAGCACACATGCAAATGACTACAGGCCCCATTGACAGGGGCAGTACTCTTTGAGTGTAGTGGGGCAGATCAAGCAGTGTGCTTCCAGGTCTTCAGCCTTCATTTAAGGTTTAGGGTTTAGGATTATTAGCCTGATAATCCGTGTATTTCATGTAACCTCTCCATTATCCACTTGAAATCCTCAACCCCTGAACCTTCAAGAGAGGCTCCCCAAAGCCAGAATCTCGACTGCTCGAGAAACAAAAACCCGCTCACATGCAACATGCGGAGGTCTTATGTCACGGTGAAGCACCCGCATACCGCTGCCCACCCAGACGGGTTTAGGAATAGGGCTTCAAGCATTTCAGGTTGGGTTCTGTCCTCCCACGACACGAGTCTGCCATGGTTTCTTGAGAAGCCGTAATTCGTTCACCTTCTTGTATTAGAGCACCCCTGCCCCTGATACTCCGATACTCTCCATGATTGCATTCTCGAAAAATGATGGGTGGAGGTGCTTGTCAGTTTTCGTCGGGGGAGGTGATTACCAAGTCGTTTGCTGCGCATCCAGTTTCAGATGTATGCTTTGGAGTGAGCCTTAATCGCAGGTTACTACCAATAATAGTAGGCTTACATCGCTCGTTTGACGCGGTGTTTACCGTCATGGAAGGTATGGGTACTGCCGTTGTATTTGTGATATAGTTATGTATAGCCTTCAATGTGTCCCCTAATAAAGACTGTTACAGGGTGGAGGCACTACCCAGGTATGTGAATACCGCCCTGAGGTTGCCAGGGCAGGAATCTACTTTAACTTACGGGTCTTTAGACTTCAGACCCCCAGATCCGAAGTAGATAGAGAAGTATGAAACAAGCTTTGACTTAGATTTGGGATTGAGTTGCGCCTTGTCAGTCCAAGGGTGCGAGGAGGTCTGACTTAGACTTACTAGGTTGCTGCTCAGGAAGTTAGATTAATTTACTAGGACGATGAAGCCCTGTTATTTATCTTATACCCATAATATGGTAATTTGATTTAGTTCCCTAGCAGCAACCCAGTTTGGGATTGACGGCTAAGGTAGACTTCGGATTTGACGTTTCCAGTTTCGACGGTTTGGGCCCTTTACTTACAATTTACTGCAGGTTTTAAAGGAATAAGGAATTATAATTCTTTAGGAGCTACTGTACAAATATGGGGCGTGGGGCCCTTGTGAGGGATGGCATGCTGTTATATGAGCTATAGTCTAAACTCCTTCAAGGGGGTCTACATAGGGGATTAGATAGGGGACCATTCTAGGGTTTATTAAGGGGGATGCTAGAAGGTTTGACTATAACTCATAGGCTGTACAACTGTTCCCATGTAATATGCCGCGCAGTAAGCGGGGATTTCCTGAAGTTGAATCCTCACAGCTCTGTTCATCCACTATGATGAAGACTTCATTTGTTCCTTTGCCCTCTTCTACTTCTTGTGGCCGTTACATACCCAAGTTCAAAAGTACTGAGGTGGAGATCCACCCAACGTCGTGCCTCTTCGGCACGCAGCCCAAACTGGTTTGGGACTTGGCCGAATGAAAAAAAAACGGCAAAGGGTTGATACCTACCAGGACCCTGACATAGGGATATATATATATATGGGCTCTTATAATTGGTATTTAGGGTATGTCTGTGTATATATATATATACATATATGTATATTTTAGTGTGTGTATATCTCTATATATATATATATATAGAGGCACTTGGTTTGTATTCTGGCTCGGTGCTATGGTTCCCCTGGACTTGAGGTCTGACATATCCCTATGCGCCATCTTATTTCGAACTAAAGAGCCCTACAAAGATCTTCCTTGCTCTCGAACCCTCTGGAATTATATGAGTGGTTCTAAAAATATAGGGGTTATGTAGGAACTACTATAGCGGTTATGTAGGGATAATGGAAAAGAACATGGAAGCTACTATTTCGGTCGTTCTGAAAGTTATGGGCCCATTTTGGTTATCGGTTATATTACGGCACCGGATATTTAGAGGTACCCAAAGGGGACCCTAGTACG